ACAGAGGCCACACTCAGTCCGTCTTTGGAGCCTACTATTCTGTCTTCCCTAGAAAAGTCTCCATCCTGTGTTCTAGTCCCCTGAACCTCCTTTCCTATTTTCTGATCATGGGATGGAAACTATTACTAAAAAGAACTGTGACTGATTTTCACCTAATAGATTAGCACAAGCCCCCACCCCATTCCCAAACCACATGTTTCTTTTTTGGGTGGTGGGAAGATACCGGGGATTGAACTCAGGTGCCCTCAGCCATAGAGCCACATCCATAGCCTTATTTTTTTTTTTTTTTTTTTGTATTTTATTTAGAGGCAGGTCTCACTGAGTTGCTCAGTGCCTCGCTTTTACTGAGGCTGGCTTTGAACTCACGATCCTCCTACCTCTGCCTCCTGAGCAGCTGAGATTACAGGTGTGAATCACTGCAGCTGGCTATATTGTTCTTTTAGCTGGATTTCAGTTCTGCCAGCTAATGGGGTTGGGGAAAGCAAAGAAATGTTCAGGGCTTGAAGACAAGGATATAAGAAGCACTGTTCACCTTGGTGACCAGGAGAAAGAGAGGGACCCCAAATCTGGATGCTCCAGGCCCCTTCTGCTCCAGATAAAGTGCAGTAAAGCTGTCAGCTGCCCAGAGTATTCCTCAGCTGAACTTTCTGTAGTTCTAAACATTCGTCATTGAGAAATTCAGTTTGTGCCAAGAGTTTAACTCTTGAAGGAGGAGGATGTGGACAAGAAAGAGGAAGAGGAAGAAAAAGAAGAAGAAGAGAAAAAGAAAAAACTTCCAGAAGACTGTGGTCTACAAGAGTTGCAGCCCACCTCTTTGACCCACAGGACAACCTCTGGGACACCAAGGCTGCACAGTGACTCTGGTCTGGCTGTGTTCAGTGGGTTCCTAGAAGCTGGGGGCTAGATGTGAGAAGGGCTGGGTGTTGGGAGCAGGGGAGCCAGGTCCCCTTACCACACCTCCACCTCCGGCTCCAGCTCCACTTGAGGCAATCTATATGTCCATGTCCCACATAATACTTTATTTGAAAGAGGAGAAAAGTTTCCCTTACTAAGAAAAAAAAAGGAGGGGGAAATGGGATTCCACCCAATTCCTTATACCACAAAAAAAGGAAACCTGAGATGAAAGGACACACTGAGGATGGCAGAGCTGTAGAGGCCAGGCTGGCTTTAAAATCACACTCTGCGTTAAACCCACACCCTGCGTCTTCATCCAGCCATTCATCCGTACTTGGTAGTGTTCGGGAACCAGGACACAGGGACAAGCAAAACACAGCCCTGCAGCCTGTGAGACCCACATTTCAGTGGAAGAGGCAGACTCAAGACAAGTATATGTACATGGGCGCCAGGAGGCGAGCTCTGGGGAAGGGCAACAGCATCTGACCAGAGCAAAGAGTGAGGGGACACTTCCCCAAGGAAGCTGAAAGATGAGTGAAGAGGGGACCCAGCAGGGGACGTAAGGCCACAGCAGTGCACATGGCCAGCTCATCAGTCCCCTGGAGAGCCCCTGGGACAGGTGATCTGCACTGACCTATCCCTAGAAACTAAATCCAGGAAGAAGTGGACTCTTCTAGGTACCCAGGCCCTCCTGAGGCTGGCCTCTGAGATCCTGGCCTCTTTGGATCTTTCCTCCCCATCCTGCAAAGCAAATGACATCATCCCACTGCACAGATGAGAAAATAGGCTTGGCAAGGTCAACTGAGAAGCCTAAATATCAAAGAGCTTCAGATAGGCAGGGCCAAAATTGGAACCCAAGTATGTCTGATTTCCAAGCCCAAGTTCTTTCCACAATTCCAGAATGTTACATACAAATAGGGAGACATTGAAGCCAAGCATAGTGGCATATGCTTTTAATCCCAGCAACTCAGAAGGCTGAAGCAGGAGGATGTAAGTTCAAGGCCAGCCTCAGGAAATTAGTAAGGCCCTGCCTCAAAATAAAATTTAAAAAGATCAAGGATGTTGTTCAGTGGTAAAGTACCTGGGGTTCAATTCTCAGCTCAAAAAAAAAAAACCCCAAAATATCCAAAGGATAGGGAGACATTGAAAACCTGAAGGTAAACTAGCAGAATTCAAGCTACTGTATGTAGAAGCTTCTGCAAGGGTCTAGCTACTAGAAGTCTCAAAATAAAAGGGGTGGGGATGTAGCTTAAAGTTAGAACATTCCTAGTTTCAATTGAAGGAAAGGAAAGAAAGGAGGGAGTGAGGGAAGGAGAAAGGGAAGAAGGAAGAAAGAAGGTAGAGGAGATATTGAAAATCCGAATGTAAACCTGCAGGATCCAATCTACTGTGTCAAGAAGTTCTAGGAAATGGATCTAGAACTGGAGTATTTGCCCTGACTGCAAAAACACAGTTCTTTCATCATTTATCCATAAAAGCACTACCGAAACTACAAATTGAGTTGTTGAAGGCCAAGGCACTGAGAATTACAGAGAACTTTGAGGGGAATAAACCCAGAGTATGGGGGGGAGATGTCCCTTCAGCTTTCTAGGCAGTGACCCTGCCACCTGGCAAACATGCACACCCCATGCACACACACTTGCACCTACACACACACACTCTCTCCCGTTCCAGACCCTGTGCCTCTCCTCAGAGACACAGGAATCCCAAGGTCAGCCCAAGTTCTCATTTCTAATCATCAAAATATAGCAGAATAGCAACCTGCAACCCCAACAAACAAAGGGAAGAGAAATGCAGGACTTAGGAGAGATAGGATATCATTTAGGACAAAGGACATAGGATTGGAGTGTCCGCTGTTTTACTCTCTACCCCCAGTGACTTCAGCTGGGTCTAGGGCTACAAAGTATCAGCAAATCCGCTCAACAGTAGGGAGCAGCAGAAATAGCAAATAAGTCCAATCCTGGCCATAGCGAAGAGCATGAAAACAGGAGGATCCAGTAGCAAAAAATCTGCAACTGGCAGGAGGGCCCACGGTCCATTTGGGTTCTGTTCCCAAATCATCTCAGCTAAGGACTCCTTGGCTGGTGGCTGGCTCCCGGTGCTTGCTGCTCACTTAAGAGCCCACTTCATTCTGGCTGGACTGCTCCTGTTGGGTTCCCAAGCCAACAGTGTGTAAGTGCCATTTGGTGTCAACCTTGACATTCTCAGCACTTCCTTTCTATCCTAAAATAAGATGTACATATAGACCACTTATATACCATTTTATAAAAAGCAAGTTAATGACCAAACTTAAATATAAGACAGAAATGAAAAGACAGTCATTTTTTAAAATACATGTATTTCAATCTGTAAAGTCACGTGAGGACATTCCTATTATGAAATCGGCGGATGATTATACACACTGTTATGGTTTAGATATGAGGTGTCCCCCAAAAGCTCTTTTGTGAGATAATGCAAGAAAGTTTAGAGGTGAAATGACTGGATTATGGGACGTGTAACCTAAACAGTGGATTAATCCACTGTGCAGTCCTGATGGAGTCAGAAACCACCCCTCCCATCCTGGAACCTGCTGCTCTTGTCAACAAGCAGGACCTGTCCGTCAGGTCTTTCCAGTGTGTGGCTCAGTCAGGCCCAAGGAAACAGCAACATCTAAACAGTAGCCAAGTGGTTTATCAGGGATGCCCAGGGAGATGGTTTGTATCCCCTTAACATCTCCCAACCAGGCCTCCCAGATCCACATGCATTCCTAGGGTGGGTTGAGCCGGTAGAGGGCAGGATGGCTGCAGCTTGGACATCAAGACAGGATACCAACTGGCCCTACCCAGGTCGGCTGCTAGAGGTCACTCCCTCTGTAGCATCTTCTTCTGCATCCAAGGCAGGAGTCACCAGATGATAGGGGCCTTCAGTTCCCTACAACCATGTACACAGAGACCAGCGGAACACATCCTCTCCAAAGCTGACACGGCACTGTGTCCTCAGGGCATCCATCCACCTTCTCAACCTTGATCCACCAGTGCCTGCATGCAGGGCACACCCAGTTCATCTTGCTCAATGGGCAGGTTCCATGGCTGCCACCTGTGGCATCAAAAACTGTATCTACTCAAAATCACTCTCTAAACTCCTTTGCATGGGCCCCAGGCTAGGGATCAGCAAATAGAGTCTCAGTCCATCCAATGCAGCCTGTTTGTTCTCTGGTTTGGGAAAAATCTGTATTTTTTTCAACTGAGGCATGCACAAGGAATGCGCACCATCAGAGCTGCCATGTTGGGAGGAAGCCCAGGCTACATGAAGAGGTGCCTCAGCCATCCATCACCACCAATCACCAGATGTCTGAATAAAACAACATTTAAATGGCTTCAATCCTTTCCTTGGGCCACTCCAGCCTTGGAATCTTCCGGGTGAGGTCCCATATCTCATGGGGCACAAATAAACCATCCCTAAATTCCTCACCCATAGAACAGATAGTAAAACATGGCACTACATGGATTAGGGGCAGCCAACTTGTATGTATCTTTAAGCATTTCAATAATGTTCACTTGGCATGAGGGTCACACTAGATGCAGCCCTGCAGAACCCAGATAACAGAAGGAACAGCAAAATAAAGCCACGAGCTCCACAGGGGCATTAGTCTGGACACCAGAGGCAAAGCCCCTGCCATTTAAATTATTTCTCTCAGCCAGCCTAGTGGCGCACGCCTGTAATCCCAGGAAATCAGGAGGCTGAGGCAGGAGAATTGCAAGTTCAAGGCCAGCCTCAGCAACTTAGTGAGGCCCTAAGCAACTTAGCAAGACCCTCTCTCAAAAAATAAAATGTGGCTCAGTGGTTGAGCCTCCCTGGGTTCAATCTGAGTGCCAAAATATGTGTGTGTGTATTGTGTGTTTCTGTCATTTGTTCTAAAGAAATGTGTGCAGTTGTATTCTTGGAGGTTAAATATGGATTTTACCAGAGAACAGTTGATGCTTGATAGATGACTGAGTTTTCTAGAAGGATATTCAGGGTTTGTGTGTGATTGTTCAGTTCAGCCAATGCAGAGAAAACTCAGAGACCTCAGTTGTCCTCCTGGGCAAGTGTGAATGGTGGGCTCTGGGGACAGCTGTGCCACTGTGTCAGATAATTGTACAGCCACAGCAGTAGCGTTCAGGGTAATCTGCCACATACACCTGGTGGTCGGTGCCATAGATGTAGTAGACATAAGTCTTTCCTTGGTACCAGTAGTGAACTTCTGTGAGGGGGATCAACTCGATGGTCTGGCGCTGAGGAAACAAATGGCCACAACAAAAACAAAAACTTCAGTGTTCTGTTCATGTCACTCACCTGCTCAAGAATCTTCAGTGGCTCCCTACTGCCTATGGAATAAAGTTCATTCTCTGAAGTTGGCATGCACTCTAGAGTTGGTGCCTATATCCCCTATCATGCTTCTTCCCATAATCTAAGCTTTGGGCCAAATTGATGCCTCATCTTTAGCCACCATCCACTTCTGAGTTTCACCAAGCAGGACAGAGGCATCTTTGGGGAAGTTCTATGGTACATGAAAAGCTATCAGCGAAACACAACATCTTCCAGAGGCATTAATTTTTAGTCAAGGTGCTAGGGGAAGGTGGAGGATAAAGTGATTTTTTAAAAAGATTTATATATTAAAACAACCATAGGGATAGTAGGGAGGCATTTATAAATTCTGAATTAAATTTTAAGATAAAACATTGGTACCAAAGAAACTTCCAAGTTTGGTAGGCTGTGTCGGGCTATGTCCTCAGACCTCCCTCCCCACCACTGCCACAGTTTCGGATTGACCCTGCCTGCAGCAGTCTTCCGCAAATGTTCCCTTCTTTTTATAAATGGGGAAACAGAGGCCCATGGGCTCATGAAGTTTTCGGTGTGAATTACCCCAGTTCAAGCCCTGTCTGCTCACCAAAGCTGTATTCATTTAAGGCTCAAATTCCCTCACCCTACATCTGGTTTTGTTTTGTCTTGTTTTGTTTTGGGTACCAGCCCTTTCTGGGGGACTGAACCCAGGAGGACTTAACCACTGAGCCACATGCCCATCCCTTTTTGAGGCAAGTTCTCGCTACATTGCTTAGGGCCTTACGAAGTTGCTGAGGCTGGCCTCCAACTTGTGGTCCTTAGCCTCCTAAGTTGCTGGGATCACGGGCATGCGCCACCATGCCCAGCAACATCTGCCTCTTTTTAAATGCCCCATAATAGAATGTGGAGTGCTCTCCCCTGACCACAGAGTGGTCCGAAGTCCCACACTAAGATTTGGGGATGCCAAACACAGGGAGAGGTAGTGTGACTGGCCCAGGGTCAGTCATCCACTACTTGCAGGGATTTCTCCCTGCTGGGAAATGAGCCTAGAGCACTCCTTTGACTAGCTGATGGGACAGAGGCCCTGGGGAAAGGGGCTGGGAGGGATCTCAGGCTCAAACCACACAGCATCTTGACTTCTCTCTGCACAGGAACAAACCTGACCCAGGAGAATGGGGCAGGCGGGGGGTTCAAGAAGCAGGCTCTACAACTAAAAAATATTTTTTAAAAATTAAAAAAGAAAAAGAAGCAGGCTCTCAACTCTTACTAGAAGAGGAGCCAGAGCAGTGTGCCAATGGGGAAAGAAGAGGGGAATCCGGGTCAGGGAGGGAAATGTCTGTTAAGCTCTCTTTGTGATCGTGCACCCTGTTTCTCTGAGCCTCAGTTTCCTCCTCTGTGAAAAGGGAATGAAAACTACTTCACAGTGTCGTTGACACAACCAAAGGAAATCCGAGGACTGAGTTTTCTTCTCATGCCGAAAACTGGTATCCAAATCATGACTTTGGAAACACAAGACAGAAGATTTCTCTTGAAATTTCATCGTAAATGGTCCCAACTCAGGGGCATGAGGAAATGAGAATTGACATCACTGCTCAGAAAGCCTGGACAGCGGGGTCAGGACCCCTCTGGCTTCCAGAATTTTCTACTAAGATCAAAGAAGAACACAGAAACACCATCCCCACCTCCACCGGCCTCTATCTATTACAGGATTGATGGGTATCTGACTTTGAGACCACAAATTGCTCAAGAGATCAGTGGCCATCAGGTGGTCATCTTGTCATTTGATGGCTTGGCCATGCCCCATAAGAAACAGATCCCAGGTTTCTGCGTCACAGCCGTGGCACCGCGCAATGGCAGATGTTTCCACATGATTAGATTCCACCTGCCACCTTCTGCATCTTCAGTAAAATGTCAATGTGAATCTTTATCTTCGGTTCCAGGACCCAAGGCCGATGGACAAAAATGTTTCACAGAATTGATCTCTTAAACTATTATGTTCCGTTTTAAACATCACCTGGTTGACCCTTTCTGGCTCCAGAATTTGTCCACAGGTGGTTCATATCACGGGGGGGGTGGGGGGAGACACGACCCAGGAGACTCACATTGTATGATCTTAGGCAGGTGACTGACCTCTTTTCCTTGGGCCTCAGTTTCCCCTGCTGACCATCCAAAGAGGACTCAGATTTCCCCCTCTTGAAGTCGCTGGTTAACACCAAGTCTCCTCACTTCCTTAGAGCCTGCCCATTCCCAGTGGAGATGCCTCAAGATTTGGGGCTCTAATTGTAACTAAGTCATAGCTCACCTGTACTGTAAGAGCCAACCGCCTTGAGACCATTCAGTAGGTTGTCCTCGTGCCACCCCCTCCCCAGGCTTCCCCCAGTCTGTTTCACCACCCCTCATGTCTGGTGTCCAGCTGTCCACAGCCCCATGTTCCCGAGTCCTGACCTGGAGGTACAGAGCTCACCTCCTACACAAGGGCAGATAGTGCCTGGGAAGATGCGTCCAATGACTGCACATTCCCAAGAATACAGTCCACTCCCTTGCCTGCAGGTGGACAGGCAAGGGGTGATTTCTGGGGGTGATTTAAGCTTGGAGTGGGGTCACAGAAGGCCAGGTTGTCACCTGAACTGGGACCTTTTCTTGGCTTCTTCCTCCCCCCCACCCCCCCTCCTTCTCAGTTTCCCCCCAAAATGATGTGCATGCAAGTCCTCGTCTCCGCTTCTGCAGAGCCCAACCCAAAACAAGAGCCAATGCCTCTCCTTTGATAAGCAAGGACATCGAGGCCCAAGGAAGGGAAAAGGGGGATCAAAATCACGATTGAGTGTCAGAGCTAGGAGGAGGTGCTAACCCCATAAGTTAATCATCCCTGCAGCACCAGGTCCCATGAAAGGGGATCTAAATCCCATATCCCGCTGGCAGGAGACACACATACCAAGTCAACAGTAGCTTTCTGAGTGACTACTAAGCTGCTGTGTGACCCTGGCAAAGTCCTTCTCCTCTCTGGGCCTCCTCTCATTTATGGGAAAAGTCATGCATTTGGATCAGAAGCCCCAAGTGACCCTATCTGCCCACGCGAGGCTCATAGCTTTGTTAGGATTCTGTTGTGAATATTTAAAAATTTGAAAGTCTCATGTAAAAATATGGACATGGGAAAGTTTAGACACTCTGGGCACTGTGCCTGCACAAAGCTGAGGGGTTATTGGCCCCTTTAGATGTGGGGCTCTCCCATGCATATGACCACCTGCATGATTTCAAAGTTCCCTTCTAGATCCCAATGGCCCTTGTTAATTTTTACTAAATGCATCCTTTTCTCTCATGCAAAAAAGATAGATGTGCAGAGAGAGAAAGAGAGGTAAGAGAAAGGGAAGGAGGCAGTATAAATGTTCATTGCAGAGGGGCTGGGAAGAAAAGGGACATTTCAAGCACCAATTGCCAACCACTTTAAGCAAAGTATCTTCTCTCTGCAAACCCCCCTACCCCCAAGGTGGTGTACCAGTGAAAAACTAGACTCAAAGGAGGATGAAGTAGCTGGCCCAGGGTCACATCAAGATGCAGAAGACCCAGGGTCTGACCCTGACCGCAAGGTGCAGGCCATGGTTATCACAGGAGCTCCAGAGCCAGACTGCTCCAAGCTCAGTTACACCCAGAGAAAGGGCAGGCACCAGCACCACCTAGTGGCCACCATCAGCCTATGACCTGATTCTCCAACCCATTCCTTTATCTGAATTCCAGGGAGTCCCAATGTAAATCACACTAGGCCTCTTGTGTGCCTGAAACCCTGCCAACAACTTCTGATGTCTCAGAATAAAACCCTCAGCCTCTCTGGGTAGCCTATGGTCCTGACCATTGTGTCTGCCCTATTAGCCTTACTGGTTCAGGTTGGCATCCAGGTGTTCCTCACCTGCGACTCCTCCCCTTGGCCTCCTGGTTGGTCCACTCTGACATTCTCAGGAAGGCCTCCAGGCAGAGAAAAGGGCTTAGGTTCCCCTTTTTGTTGAGCTCAGGAAGTGCCCAGGCCTGGCCCCGGGAGCCTCCCCTTCAACAGCCCCAGGTCCAATCCCCAAAAGGTCTCCGGCCCCAGGAAGAGAGGTCAGAGCCAGGCAGCCCCTCCAGGCCTCACCCCAGGTTCCCTTCCAGCTCACCTGCTGTAGGATGCGGGCGCAGGAGGCCAGGGAAGCGCTGTGCTCTGTGATGCCCCGCTGGGAGGCCAGAGAGATCTCCCTCAGGGGGAAGTCAACAATGGGGTACACCTGGGGGACAGAGAGAGACCAGTTCACTTTCTCAGATTCAGAGCATTAGAACCTGGAGGTTCGGAAGACACTGGGACTGAACTGAGCCAGACAGAGGAGGAGGCCCAGAGAGGTAGTGGGGGAGCCCAGGGCCACACAGGAAGCCTCTTTCCCACACACACCTTAGAGGCCCACGAAGGTCAACACAGAGAGGAGGAGATCTGTGATCAGGAAGAGGACCCCTTCACCTGAAGCCTACCTTCCCCCAGAAAACCCTTGCTGAGTGCCTACTGTGTGCCAGACATCATGCTAGGGGCGGGGAGGCAGTAGGGACCACATTTGCCTTGGTCACAGACACAGGTAGCTGGAAAGCTCACTTGAGTGATTTCTCACTCAATACTGGAACTGCCTACTGAGTGCCAGGCTCTGTCTGCCAGCCTGAGGATGTGCTGAAGTCACCTCAAGTAGCTTTCGGTCTGCCAACAAAGTCCCTGCAGCGAGGACAGCAAACATTTTTTTTAATATTTATTTTTTAGTTTTAGGTGGACACAACATCTTTATCTTACATCTATGTGGTGCTGAGGATCGAACCCAGTGCCCCGTGCATGCTAGGCGAGCGCTCCACCACTGAGCCGCAACCCCAGCCCACATTTTTTTTTTTATTAATAATGTTTTTTTTTCTTTTTTTTTTAACATTTATTTATTTTTACATGGTGCTGAGGATGGAACCCAGTGCCTCACACGTGCTAGGCAAGTGCTCTAGCACTGAGCCACCACCCCAGCCCTCAGCAAACATTTTGTGCAAAGGCCATGACAGGAAGGCTTTGCAGCCCACATAGTCTGTTTTAACTCAACTCTACCCCAGAAGCAGGAACACAGCCAAAGACAATAAATAAACAAATGGAGAGCTGTGTTCCAATAAAACTTTATAGCCAGGGATGGTGGCGCATGCCTGTAATCCCAGTAGCTTGGGAGGCTGAGGCAGGAGGATCGTGAGTTCAAAGCCAGCCTCAGCAGCTTAGCAAGGCCCAAACAAACTCAGCGAGACCCTTTCACTAAATAAGATATAGCTGGAATATGGCTCAGTGGTTAAGCACCCCTGGGTTAAATCCCTTGTAAAAAAATAAATAAATAAAAACCTTGATTTATAACAGCAGGCAGTGGGCCAGATCTGCAGACCTCTGGGCTGTAAGATCCTTCGTGCTCTGGCTGTCAGGCACCTGTCAGGCCCAGGCTTCTCTTTCAGCCCTGCTCTCTGCCCTCCGCCATGCCCAGCTGTCCCCTGGCTCCCATGATCACGCAGTCTACTCCCCAATGCACTGGGTGTGCAGGTTTCTACCCAAGGTCCCTTCTACAGAGAGGCCTTCCCTGACCCCAGCGAAGGCAACTACCCTTCCCAGCCTGCTCCCTCACCCTTCCTGAGTGTTCCACCATAACCAGACCTACCACCACCTGGCAACAGCCATTATTTCCCCCTCCAGACTGTAAGAGCCCTGAGGACAGGACTTTGCTTTTTTTCTTTTTTTTTTTTTTGCCATGAAATCCCCAGCACCAGACCACTGCTTTGTTTGTGCACTTGAATCCTCAAACCTCGTGGAAGAGAAAGGGGAATAGATGGGGAGAGGAGTAGAGGAAGGAAGACAGTACAAAGGGACAGAAACAGGGACAAAGTGTCCAGGACTGAAATTCAACTGGGAGCCGGCAGCCCCTGGGGTCCCAGAGCCTCTTTCCTAGCCTTTCCCCACACAGCCCATCTTCCCATCCAGCTGCCTCCTGGTGGAGGGGACAAGGAACCCCACTGCCTTGGTCGCCTATCCACAAAGCCCTCCTCACCGCTGAGTTTTCATCCCTAAAGAGGTTTTCTCCCTTGGCCTTCGCCAGCAGCTCCCGGGGGCAGTGGCGCTGGTGCTGGGACAGGAACTCAAACACGCTGTTCCTCCTAGAAGCACATGGGAGTGGGATGATGCACACGGTGTGAAGAACACGGGCTTCGGCATCAGGCACACCTGGGCTCAAGGGCGCATGCGCAGATTGGTAGGCTCTGGGAAAGTTCAGGGCCTCTCCCAGCCTGGGAGCTCCCCTGCAGCAGGAGTCCAACAGGGGAGCCTGAGGGCTCGGCTCTGTGAGTTATTATTTTATGAGGACCCAGGTGACATCCTTAATGCCTTGGAGCACTGACTTCCAGACTGTAGCTTTTAGGGCCCCGGGATTCTGTTCCCTGACACAGGCACTTAGCTGTTGAGGGACTGCTGCGTACAGAGCGGTAAGGTCAGCATTTGAACTTGGGTCCTTCTATTCTAAATCCTGTGGACACACCACCCCACGCAGCCTCTCCCAGGGAACTCTTCCCCTTCTATGTCCTGGCAGCTCCCTGCTCCATGGAGTTGCTCTGCAGCAGCCAGGCTGGGACATGTCCTCTGCCACCTCCTTGAAGCCCAGCACTGAGCTCTGCCACCTACCACATGACGACCAGCTGGATGAAGTGCACCAGCCTCCTCTGCCCCTTGCAGGTGGCACACGTCTTGTTCCCCCCTCCTGAGCACGTGCTGCACCTGCAATCAGTCATGGGGTTCTGGTGACTTCCAGAGGTCCCCATCCCCAAATCCTTCCTCAGAGAGGAAGATGAGGATGGGATTGCATCGTTTTTACCCGCCACCATCTCCCCACCTTACCTTGGTGGCAGGGTGTCTTTGGGGACCTCCCCTCCTGGTCTGCTGGGTTCTTGGGCTTTGCCCTCCCACCCTACTTTGACCAGCTTAGGATGCCAGCCTGATCAATCATTCCATCTCTCTGGCAATGATAACTGATACAAGCAAACACAGGACCCAGGTGGATGCACTGAGACCCATCCTAAGACAACTATTGAGATTATCAGGAAAAGAGCATTCTTGTCTACTGGGATTCCTAAGGCTGAAGCTACCTCCACCACTCCAGCCTGGTGACATTGTTGAAGCCCCTGGATCCAGCTCGACCTGAAGCCATCCCAGAAATACACCCCTATGGACATAGCAGGAACAAGACAGGCGCCTGCCCCCCTTCTAGATGAGCAGAGGGTAAAAAGCAAGAAAGCCAGCACATGAGACCCTTGGCCTGCATGCCATGGACGCCCACGGGCTCTTACCTGCGCCTGCCAGAGCCCGAGCACATCTGACACCTCTGGGGCTGCCTGGCTTTGCGCTTGGCTCCACTGCAGGTCGGGCACCTCACCTAGAGACACATCACAGCCTCAGCCCCACTGACTCCTGGCAGCAAGGCCAAGACCCTCCCAAGACCAGCCTGGTGACGTTAGCACAAGTGACTCCCTGCCTCCTGGGCCACAGTCCCTTCCAGTTACAGCTTTCAAAGACTCCATGTCCTCAGTTGGGGATGTTTCTTCTGAGACATCAGCGTCCCCTCCTTCTCTCTGATTCCCACAACCCTAGAGACCTTCCCCAATCAAGTGTGGACAGGGAGCTGGGAGCAGAGTGGCCGGCTGGGGACCTGGTGTTGGAACTGGGGGCAGGAGAGAGGGAGTGGGGGAGATCCCTTTTGACAGTGGCCCCAGAAGTGGCTCAGGCATTGCCCAGTGAGAAGCAGGAAGAGCAGGAGTGGAGGAAGGAACAGAAAGACCATAGGGAGGGTGTCCTGGGACAGCCAAGGAGGCAGGTAGCAGGGATGAGGACACAGGAGGGAACAGAGAAAAGCCAGGCACAGGCCACTGCTGGAAAACACAGTGTGTGAGTGGGTGGGAGGTCAGCACCCATCGGGAGGAAATGGGCCACGGAAAGGGTGGAGGGCTGACTGGATGTATTTTAGGATGAAGTTGTCAGTAGGTGTCCAAAGATCAGACTCGAACTGCCAGAGCCGAGAACACATGGGGAGTCTGGTTCTACTCCCAGGCACGGCCCTGAAAGTTTCAGAGAAGACTGATGGCCCAAGAGCCTGGTCGCCTGCTCCAGGCCTGCACTGGGCTGGATTCAAACTCAACCCCACTCAAGTGCCCTGGAGCCGCAGCACATGACCTTATTTGGAAATGGTCTTTGCAGATGTCTTTGGTTAAGACGAGGTTCAACGGCCTCATCCAGACCAGCCTGGGCCCCCCTCCAATGACTGGTGTCCTCAGAAGAAAAGATGAAGATGAAAAGACATCCCAGTTTTTTGGACAACAGAGGCAGGGACAGCAGTGCTGCAGCCACCCAGTAGGATACCAAGGACTGTGGGCAGCTGGGAAAGAGGCATGGACAGCCTCTCCTTCAGAGCCTTCCAGAACACACCTGCCCGTGCCTGGGTTTTGCAATTCTGGCTGCCAGAACTGGGGGACAATGGATCTCTGTTGTTTTAAGCCACCCAGATGTGCTAATTCGTTACAGCAGCCCTGGGGAACCAGTACAAGGCAACTGTCTACCTTATCGATCAAAGCCCTCATCACCCTGGGCTACAAATGCTGATGGCTTGTCACTGTCCCCCACAGAGGGTGTCCCTGATGCCAAGGACCCCAGGTCTCAGTCCTCTTATAGGGCCAAGCATAAGCAGGTGCTTAGTGAATACTGGGAGATGAATCGGACGGGAGAGAACACTTACAGCTAGAATGTCAAACTGTGAAGGTCATTAGAGACGACCCCAGCTAGACTTCCCATTGGACAGATGGAAAAATGGAGGCCCATAAAGGGAAGATGATGCACAGGGAGCCCCACAGCCCCAGCCCAGCCCTCCTCTCCCGTGTCCCTCCCTCCCACACACAAGTTCTCACTCACCAGTGGCCCACATGTGACTCACCATGCCGGACCCGTGGCAGCCACTGCACTTGTACCGCCCATGCCCATGACATTTGTGACATTCCTGAAAGTGAGACACTCTCCTTAGGTCCAGTTTCCCAAGCACCAGCCCCCTGGCCCGTGATGTCACCATCTTGAATAGAAGTGCCCATTGAGAACAGGGATAGGAAGACAGGATGAGGAAGGTACGGTCCTTCCCATTTGACCAGGATCCCCAAAGGTTTTCAAGGCCAAGTCATGGACCCTGCGTTATCACTGCCTGCAGGCCCCGCCCCCTCCATCCTGTGGGCCAAGAAGGGGGCTCTCAGAGTTTACTCTGGGCTAACCCACACCCCACGACTTCCCACCAGGCTACACTGCAAAGTCTGATGACATCTGCCTATCATGGCTAAAAGTGATCTTCAGGAAGAGGGGCCACACAGAATGGACGCCATGTTTGTGAAAGGCCACGAGAGCGCTATTGGAACTTCATCACTGAATGAAAATAGCTTTTCCACCCTCGAAAAAAAGAATGGAATGTTTTTTTGACCTTTCTGCGACCTCTTCATCTCATAACTCTATAAAAACTCAGGAGAATAAAATTACATATTCAGTCAAGTCCTTAGGTGAAAACAGGCAGGAATTAGATGAGAAGAGAATATAAAATACCTGTTCCAGGTTCCCCTCACTCCATGCCATGATTATATTTCTGTTCTGGGGATTGAACCCAGGGGTGCTCTACCACTGAGCTTCACTCCCTCCCCAGCCCTTTTTTTTTTACTTCTCGGCGGACACAACATCTTTGTTTGTATGTGGTGCTGAGGATCAAACCCAGGCTGCAAGCATGCCAGGCGAGCGCGCTACAGCTTCAGCCACATCCCCAGCCGCCTCCCCAGACCTTTTTAAAAAAATACTTTTTAATTTGAGACAGGGTCTAATTAAGTTATTGAGACAGGCCTCAAACTTGTGATCCTCCTGCTTCAGCCTCCTGAGTCATTGGGATTACAGGAATGTCCCACTGCACCCAACCATGATGATATTTCTATCAAACAAGATGGAAGTGAAATTCTGTTTCCCTATGACTTCCAAGAAAATCCCAATAATGTTTTTGACTTTTATTTCATGTCATTTTCACTCACCCCTCCAGTTATTTTTGTCAGATCAAAAAAAAGAGATACAAATACACTCAAATGGTCTAGGAATGTTACTGTTCACTATTTAAGGCTGGGGACAATTCTGAAATTGCTATGTGAAGACTCACTCCCTAATTTGTGTGGAATTATGTATGAAACTACATTCCATACCCTGGATGTTCTAAACGGAGGCTTATTTATACCCACAAATGAACCACCAGGCTGGATTGGGGGTTTCTTTTCTAAAGGGATAAAGTTAGAAGAAACTTTCCACACTTGAAAAATTAGCACAGAGAGAAAGGCACGTGTTCCAATAAGTACATTACCTTCACCAGTGAAGAATGAGGGACTTGGAACTTCTTGGTGTCCTCCTGAAACATTGGAGGGATCTGGACCTTGATATCCCAAAGCCTGGGGGAGGTGCCTCTTTGTGGCCCGTCTACTGAGTGGTCTACAAAAAGGAACGATCATCAGAGCAGCCAAGAGCATCAGAAATTAACTTCCATTTATTCAACAAACAACACCAAGCCATCAGTTCATGCCCAGGCATTGGGTTAGATTCTGGGGCTACACAGCTAGGTATAAAAAAGCCCCCTTGGAGACCACGATTAAGAACTCAATCTGTAGGGCTGGACAGACCCAGGTTTGATTTCTGGCTCTACTATTTCCTAGCTGTGTGACTCCAGGCAAGTTGTTTAACCTCTGTCTCTTTTCTAAAATGGGGCTAATAGTGGCACCTATCTTACAGGAGTGTAGAGAAAAATAAATATAAAAATATATAAAATGGTTAGCACAGGGCTCCCAAATACTGAGGGATTAATCAATACCAGCTCTGATCCTTATCACCACCATCCCCTTCACCATCCCATCTTCCTCCTCTCTGATCACAGAGAGTCACAGCATACAACCTCAGTTTTATGTCATGAAATATGATAAGTTCTTTGGGCAAGAGTTGTATGAACAGTTGTAAGAACTCAGAAGATGGACCTATCCTAATGAGCAGGGGATGGCAAACAAGAAATCCTGACAGGCTTCACTGAAGAGGTGACACATGAGCTCCATCTTGAAGAAGGGACCAGAATGGCCCACCCGAGAACAGAGGCAGGACAGAGTCTTCCCAGACAAACAACCATGAGCCTCTAGTGGGGTTCAGTGGAAGGTGGGAGGTATAGCTGATGGGGGTGCGGCACAACAGTCTTGAGTCTTAGAGGGGCTGGGGTGGCACAGGAGGCGGGCAGATGCCAATCACGTGTCTGGACCCTCCTGCCAGCACCAGCCTGCAGCCAAAGCAAGCCCTGGACTTCCTCAGGCCTCTTGCAAACCACTTCCAGGAGGCAGGATGTACTTACTGTGGTCAATGCAGGAGAGGCTCCAAGATCAGCATCCACCACTCACCCCCATTCTACAGGGAATGGGGAAACCAAGGCTCTGAGCAGATGAGCACCTTGTTCCAGGTCTGCTGCTGAGCCAAGCCCTGAGATTTTCCACCAGCCCCCTGCCTCGTTTGCTACCTGTCATACTGATTTCAAGATGATTCACTTACTCGTAAAAGGTTGAAATGTCCACTCGCTTATCCTGGATTCACTGAAGGTCTCTAGTCGATACTGCAGAGGGTGGAAAAAGAGCACTTTCACATTCCTGTTCCTATGAAGACAGAGCCCATCTGCCAGGGTTCGTTGAAGACACCCAGGCTCCTATGCATGGTGCCCTCTGGTTGCTTAGAACAGGCTGGCAATGGTGATTTTTATTATGATGCCCTGAGACATCTGCAGAGAACTCGGGCAGCCCTGGGAAACCCCCTGACAGGCTCCCATTCAGAACCATTTCAGGTCCCCAGGAATCTCCACACAGAAATGTTCTATGAGTCAAGTTTGGAAACAGTAGTTATCCTTTAGATGCAGGCCACTGGAGTACACAGTTCTGAGGGTCCCTATTAGGAAGAATTTGTCTGACTCATGTCAAAATTTTCTTGATCCTCATCCACAAAATCTCAGAATTTGGCTCCTCCTTTCACATGTAAGAAAACAGACTCAGAGAGGTCAGTTGATTTGCCCAAGGTCAAACAGCTCTAAAGTGGCCGCTTCCTCTAGATCCCTGATCTAGCTGCTCTGTGTTTCTGCATCAATGTGTGCTCATCAGAGGACAGCTGTGTCCATGACACTGAAAAATGTGGACAGAAAAGCTGTCCCTCTTCCCCTTTCAATGCAGAAGGAGACAGAAATGTGTGCCAGAGGCAGGATGGCCCTGGAGTGATGGATGAATGATCCTGCAGTGTGGACATGATCTGGGAGAAGCAGAGCTGGGGTCAGGGTAGCCAAGGACCCTCTCTCAGCCCGCCCCTGGTGGAAGGCTGGAGTGAGGCTCTGGGATGAGCAACCTGGGTGTGGACTGAGGCTCCGTCCCTTCTACTGCATGTTCCTGTGTAAGTCACTTTGCTTTTCCGGGACTCCCATCTTCCTATCCAAGCTGTTGACAACAAGGCTAGAGTGCAGGGTAGCCAGGAGAGTGTGGCAACACACGGATGCCATGCGTTTCCATGAGGTGCAGCACATCTGAATGATGATTGAAGCACTCACTCGCTTCATTATGATTCCCAGGTACAGACCAGAGATAGAGCAGAAGGGATTGGACGTCGCTACCATTCACCTGCTAGGACTCCTTGCTCCTGGCTGGCTTCCCATAAATATCCCCTGTCCCAAAGTCCCCAGGCCCCAGCCCCTTAGCCAGGGCCTCCACTAAGCCCAGCCCCCTTACCCTGCAGAGAGTCTGCTGCCTCAGCTCCCGGATGATGAGGTCATCTGCGGCTGCACTGCCATAGCAGCATTTTGAGTTCACGAAGCTGAGAAGGGCCTCACGGGCCACCTCCTCTGTCACCACAGGGACTCTGATGGGGACCAGAGAGGTAGAGGTCTGGGAAGGGCCCTCAGGCTCATCCAGGCCAGCCCCCTCCGTGTACAACTGGGCACCAAGGCCCAGAGAGCAGGGAAGAGTCCTGAGGTCAACAGTGGTAGTGAAGCCCCAAGGAGTCCAACTGGGGACAGTGACCCGAGCAAAAGAGCATGAATGGATGCCCAGGGCGAGAAGTGGTAGGTCTTTCTAAAGGACAGCAAAGCCATGTGAGTGAAAGTATGTGGCTCAGGAGAGGGACTCAGAGAATCTCAGAACATCCACACACACAAAAAAGATGAGGCTTCTGCCCTAAGAGAACTTGACCTTGACCTTGACCTTGACTGGAGGAGCTGGAGCAGCAGAGCATTGGAGGATAATGACGGGGAGGGAGGCAGATCTAGGGCCCATCCTCTGCCCTCTGTCTGAACAGCTTCCCCTCCTCCTGGAAAACCCTCTCCTGAGGCCAGGCCACGTCCTTGGCTAAGCTCTTCCTGTCCCCACCCCCTCCAGTAAGAAGGAGGCCTCTCCTTCCTCTGCCCTCATATCTTCCTCTGCTAGATCTCCGTGGCAACCCTGGAGCCATTTGAACCCGACATGGACACCTGGTGTTTCCAGTACCCACCAGACCCAGCACGTGCCTTCAGATCAGTGGGCAGCAGAGATGCCATGGGCTGCAGAGGCCAGAGGCAGCTCCACAGAGGAAGGGTTTGTACTGGGCACAGAGGCTGGGCAGCCCAGAGGAGAAGGTGAGCTGTTTGTGGCTGCAGGAGGCCCAGGAACACCCAGGAGACTCCTATCTGGCAGGCCATAACTGCCCAGCTGGGAGGCTGGACCCAGAGAGTGGGCAGGGGCCCCCTGGGGCTTCACCTTCTTTCTGCACAAAACTGGCTAGAAACCCAGAGCTCTACCCCAGAACTCTCAAAATCAACACAGGTAGGCCGTGAGGGGTCTAGCCCCAGGGCTTACAAACTCCTGCAGCCAAGGGCCAGCTAGCAAATATTTTAATTTCATGGACCACATCGTCTGTACCTCAACTGCTACACTTTGCCATCAGAGTGTAAAAGCTGCCATAGACCATGCCGGATGAATGAGTGTGACTGTGTTCCAATAAAGCTTGACTTATAAAAATAAATGGTGATGGTGGGGCGGGGGGATGTGGTGGCACATGCCTATAAGCCCAGCAGCTCAGGAGGCTGAAACCAGAGGATCACGAGTTCAAAGCCAGCCTCAGCAAAAGCAAGGCACTAAGCAACTCCGTGAGACTCATCTCTAAATAAAATACAGTAAAATAGGTCTGGGGATGTGGCTCAGTGGTTAAGTATCCCTGAGTTCAATCCCCAGTACCAATAAATAAATAAATAAATAAATGGGGGGACTGGATTTGGCCCACAGATTGGAGTTTGCAAATTTGTGGTATTGATTATGATTTTCAAATCTGGCTTTGTAGGCAAATGACCTGAAAAACCTGGTAAATGTAGATTGCAAGGCTCCTTCCCTGGAGAATCTGGTTCAGCGGGTCTGGGATGAAGAGAATCCATCCAATGGATCCCAATGCACTCTCCGGTTAAGACACACACTCACACCCCCCAGCCAGAGGGTGTTCACAGGGCAACAGTGACAGGTGCAGACATAGAACCCCAAAGTCACCTGTGTTCCAGGAACGAGGACCAGGAAGGTGGTTCCTGGGGTCTCACCGGGGCTTCCGAGGGTGGGAAGAATATTTGCTGCCCTGGAGGAAAGGGAGGAAATAATCCAGGGGCTGCACAGTGCAGCTCCAAGGAACAGATGTTTATGAGGCAAAAGGAGGAAAGCCTGGCTGAGCGTGAGCAAGAACATGAGGGAAAGGAACGGGCGTTTGGTGCATCTGATGCAAACAAATGGGGATTCCAAAACCAGCTTCATTCAGGCTGTACGCTGGGCTGTAGTCAGGAACGTCCATAATCACAGGGCTATGCCCCACTTCTGCCCGCTTCCACCCAACCATGATGTGAGGCTTCCCAGCCCCACCAGGAGAAAGAGGAGCTACCTCAGCACCAGCCAACCTGTTCCAGATTTGTCCTCACCAACCAGCGTGAGCCCCAGAAAGAGAACTTACCACCGCCCCCATGAAGAAGCCAGTCATAGCTGGGCAGCCTCTCCAGGAGTTCAGCAGGGGGTGCCAGAGGACTCTCGGCCTCGAAACTCAGGTTCACACCTGCGGAAAGATAGCGAGCGGTCCTGAGCCTTGGAGAAGGCAGGCTGTCCTGCTAGAGAACCACGAGGAGAGGCCCTGAGACTCATGGAGAGGGCTTCTTGGAGTCCAGTCTTCCTGCTAAGTCACCACGCATGTGAGCAAAAACATCTTGGGCCCCTCCAAGCCAGCTGCCTGTGAGTACCACTGAGTGACCCTACTCAACCCTACATGGAGCAAAAGAATCTCCCAGCCGGGTCCTGCCCAAATTCCTGACCCACAAAATCCTGAGATATAACCCCAGTGTTGCCCGAAGGCTCTGAGATGTGCAATGGCTTACCTTGAGCTCCTCCCAGTGGGCAGTCCTTGCTCTGGGACTCCCCACAGACCTGGCCAAGGCTGCCTAGGAGCCACACTACAGTGTGAGGTCCCTCTGCTCAGTGTCCCTCCATCCCTCTCTACCTTTGCAGGTGTCCAACTGAAGTACAAAGACCCTCCTTGCCCTTTCCTTTCATGAGTGTATCCCAGGACTTGCTGGCATGCCTCATGTCACCGTGGTGTCTGCACCTCAGGTGACCCAGACTGACACACGAGCACTACCCCCACCCCCATTCTACCAAGGAGGACACTGAGGCACCAAAAGCTGTGATTCGGCCAAGATCATCCAGCCAGCGGGCGGCGAGTGGCACTGATCCAAACCAAGGCTCCAGCTCTTTCTGGGTACTTTTCATAAGGTGAAACACTATTAAGAAATCATTCCATGTATATCTGCTTTCAGTGCCCCATGGTGACCTGCCAGATGTGGCATGGATCCAGATGGCCCTCAGAGTCCACAGAGGCAAGTGTAAGGCAAGTCCTGAGACGTGATGGCGGGCTCAGGAAGCACCTGCCACACCTTTGCCTCCTGGGGGAATGGAAGGCAGGGACTTCTGATTCTACTTGAGAGGCTACTGCAGAACTCCTGGATCACACAGCTGTGGGGCTAGAGGGGGAACTTAGTGCTATGCCTGCCCCACTGAACGGCTCTCAAAAATGTTCCCACAAGCCCTTGTGCTGGGGGCAAGAATCCCTTGGCTCTTGGAGGAAACTCGGTCACAGGAAATTCACTACGAGGCCTGTAAAGAGCAGGCTGTGGAATGGAGGTGCTGTTTACTATACTCAGGTCAGACTTCCCTACCTGATGCACTTCCCAGCCGATCCCCTGCTTGAAAGCCTACATATCGTTACTTCCACAAAAATAAGAGAATGACATGCCCCATGCTTTCAAGTTTAGTAAAAATGAAGGTCAGACTAATCAGCAGATCTTGTTCTAAATGAGAGCAACCCAGGTTTATCTGAAAGTCAAGGAATGAGGAAGACTGAAATCCTGAAATGTGTGCGGGGGGGAGGAAAGAGGGGTTGTCGTTAAGACAAATGAACACGGCCCCTCAGCCGCCCCTTCAAAGTTAGGAATGCCCTTGTCCTCTGACATTGAGAAGGTAGTTTTCTCTTACAGGAAACCTACCAATGAAAGTGAGAAGAAGAACGTTTACTGATAAAGAGAGAGTCTTTCTAGGCAGGACCAGGTATGATGGTGATGCAAAGTGACATCATCCCAAAACCTCACATGGAGGCCAGACAATGTACACGAAAGTCCCCAACATGATCATTCTTCTGGAATTTTTATTAAAACCTTGGTTTTCTATACTGTTTGCTTTGAGTGATCTTATGAGCATTTGAAGAAATGCAGCTAGAGGGGACCCTGACAGCAACCATTTGCTGTCAAGAGCCAGGCAGGAAATATTTCAGACTTTGGACCTTATAATGGAGCAAATCACATTTGTGCCGTATAATGAGTCGATGTCTGAGCCATCTCTAGTCCCGTGCCTGGCGTATAAGCAGTGCTCAGTGAACGCCTTGGATTTGAGGAGGGTGGGACTTCCTCTTTCTTTGTGTTCTTTTAAATCAGAGGAAAACAAAGAAAATGTCAAGTGTAGAAAGAAAGACAATCACATCCCCTGGGATGGCTCCTGCCGGCAGAGCAGTCTTGGGGTTGGCTGGGGTATTAATACTATCGTTGACGGGAAGATGGAAATGCCATATGGCTGGGAACCAAACAAAAGAAGCAGGAAGGGGGGAAGAATGAGGGGTGGGAAATTCAGAGCTCTATCCATCAACCAGGAGCCGCCCTAACCTCTGGGGCAGTTGCAATTCATCAGAGCTAAATTAATCTCACCATTATGCTATGTGCAAAAATAAAGGACTCCAGACTGACCCCCAGAAGGATGCGTCATTTCCTGTGCAAAAACCAACAGGCACAACAGGACCGTGGACGTCACTGGCCATTGTGCAACTCCTAACGTAGGGCACTCGGATGGGGGCTTCCAGCCGCGTCACTGTCCCCATGGTGTTGGGCAGTGGTCCAGTTGGTCCACCCCACCCTGAAATAGACATTGCAACCCGTGGCTCACAGAGGAAGGCTGCAGATATGACCTCTTCTGCACTTTCAAGGTCACCAGTGTCCCCCATTTCAGAGAAGAACAAAAAGAGGCTCAGAGATGTGATTTGGCTAAACTAGCTGGCACGTTCATGGCAGAGACAGAAATAGAGTCTAGAACTCAGACCTGACTCCAAGCCCAAAGACCTTGCTACTGAACTTCACTCTGTGTGTCTCCAAGTCTCCATGGCAATGGCATCAAGTGGTTTTTGAGAAAACTTTGCAAGGACATCTGAAGAGGGAGTGTTTCTGCTCACCAGTCGCCAGCTATTTTTCTTTTTTATAAAAGGATTTTTTTTCTTGTGGGGAAGACATAATTAATGGATAACTCCTTTAACCTTTTCTTTTTTAAAATGTCATTGTCTTTCTTTCAGATGAAAAAGGGAATCCATGCCCTTTGCCCCTGATTTCAAACTAATCATCTTAAAAACACTGACATCATGCTCCAATGGCCCCACCACTACCATCTTGCTTTAGTTTGTTTCATAGTTCATCTCCTTTAACAGGTATGACAGCCCCTTTGAGACAGAGGCCTCTCTTGTATACCCCCAACAAAGGGTAGGCATGCAGTAGAGACATACAAGTGTTCTGTGCACAGAGGGTCAAACAAGGTGGACATTCAGCTGGTGTTCAAAAATGCGTTATGACTTGAATTATACTTAAAATTGTGCAAGAAATAGTCTGATGGTCAAATTCACAGAGAAGTTGGGCCTGGTGATACATGCCTGTCATCCCAGCAGCTCGTGAGGCTGAGGCAGGAGCATGGCGAGTTCAAAGCCAGCCCCAGCCATTTAGGGAGGCCCTAAGAAACTGATTGAGACCATGTCTCTAAATAAAATACAAAATAGAGTTGGGGATGTGGCTCAGTGGTTAAGCACCCCTGGATTCAATTCCTAGTACCAAAGCAAAATTAATCAAACAAATAAACAACAATAAAAAAAATTCACAGAGAGAAAAGTAAAATGGTGGTTGCCAAGGGCCTGGGGGAAGGGTAAGGAATGGGGAATTTTTGTTTAATGGGTCCGGAGTTTTTGTTTTGCAAGACGAAAAGCCTTCTAGAAATGGACAGTGTGAATGCCCTAAACTCTACCTTTAAAACTGGATGGGAGCCAGTCATGGTGGCATAGTCCTGTAATCCCAGCAACTTGGGACCCTGAGGCAGGAAGATGACAAGTTCAAGACCAGCCCTAGCAATTTAATCAGGCCCTCAACAACTTAGTGAAACTCTATCTCAAAATAAAAAATAAAAAGGGCTGGGGATGTGGCCCAGTGGTTAAGAGCCACATCAATCCTCAGTAAACCCTCCCCCTCCAAAAAAACAAAAAAACCGCTAAGATGGCAAAAGTTATGTTGCGTATATTTTACCACAGATAAAAATGATTTTAAAAGCAGATTTCCAATGATTGAAACATTATAAAGAAAAAGAAGAAGAAAGAAAGGAGATCTGTTTTGCAAAGAAGAACAAATGAGCAAATGATTAGCCACGATATTTAAAGGACTTCTTGGCGACGCTAAGAAACCTGACCACGGCACCCCCTCATTTGAACCCTGCAGAGGCTCATGATTACTGAACCCCTGAGCTTGACACTACCTAGGCCCCTACTTGGGCCCCTACCTAGGGACAGGAAAAGGGGATTCTCATCTGTCCACATGCCAGGGAAAAAAGTCTTCCTACGTTGTCCAGACCAGGGTGAGGAAAAGGGAGATGGCAATAAAGATAAATGCAGAAAGATGGAAGGCGGGAGGTAGGCTTGCTTGAGGCCAGAGAGAGAAGTGTAGGTGCTTTGGGGTGGGAGACACCAGGAAAACATTTGCAGGAGCAAATGCCCACCATATGGCAAGACCAAAATTCCAAGAGCAAAATGAAGAGAAATGGGGAACTAAGACAAGGGCTCTACACTGGGTAGGTCTCTGCAACTGCAGGAGAAAACGAGGCAAACATCACAATATTTTGTTTTAATTATGAATGCTCATGATTTCTGATTTTTAAAAATTATTTGGGATTATGATTTGCAGCTGCTTTATAGCTATCTGGGATGCAAAACCCATGCACTGGAAAGAGCTCCACTTTGCCAAGATAGGGCCATGGAGGAGGCAGTTGGATTTTCTATGGTCTGTCCCTGCTTTTCCAAGAGTGATCTGTGACTTTGTGACACTGGCATTTGCATTTGCCCTCACTGGTATGCAGACCATTCCTCCCAGCTTTGCTCTGGCTGTTCCTGTCCTTGGCGCCCCCAGGCGCCCCTTCAGTATTTTCTCTCCCTTCCTGTTGTTGCTTTTGCTAGATGGTTTTTAAGAATTCTTTTTTTAAAAACAATTTTATCAGCACATTCTAATTTATACATAGTAGTTCATGTGTGCTCATAATTTGTTCCAACACATTCTTTATAAAATGTCCACTTGGGGTCCCACCAGACTTTGAGCACCGTGAGGTAGGAGGTGTTTGATCTACCCTCATTCTGCAGACCCGAGCTTAGCGCAAAATACCTAGCCCACCAGGTAGTGTTGGGGGCGAAGTCATTTAATTTTAGGGCTTTAATTTCCTTTCCCTAAAAAGAAGTCTTAGGGAATACTGGCAGGAACAGCCCTTAGAGAGGGCTCCACAGCTGACCTGGAGAGCCCTGCTAAGCTCTATATGACTTCACTCAAGCTGTTTATTTCTTACAGGCTCCGCAGGTCAGATGTGCTATCCTGCTGTTAGGAGTTACTGGACCCACCATTCCCTCCAGCAATGTGGCAGCGTGCAGGAAACACTGAACAGGCCCCATAAGGCCATGGCTGACCCAGCAGGTGAGGCCAGGATTCCTGGTGGCTGTGGCTCCATCACTAGGATGTGTGCAAAACACTGAGGCCCCATGTCAGTCATCAGGGATGCTGGCCTCTGGGCCCCTTGTGGGAAGTCCAGCATCCTTTCCTACCACAAGCAGCCTCAAATCCAGTCTCATATCTTCAGCTCAGGATTTTGTTGGTCCTTTTGGAAACAGAGCTGGCCTGTGATCCAAAAGGGAGAGCCCCATCTGTTCAGCACTGGGCCACTGAAGGTGATGGTGGGGTGGCCTCAGGTCAGTCACTTGTGACTTCAAAACCTCTCCTCCTCCAGGGGACCAATTCCCAGAGGTCAGGAGGTACAACCTAGGTCTTATAGGCCAGAGAAGCCCTCTCCTAAAATTACCAGGGGCTCTAATGAAAGCCTCTCTTACTTGAAGAAGCTCTTGTTCTCCATTTTTTGGGAGGGGTGTTCAGTCTGCAACAAAGGAAGTTATATTATAGGACATGGTGTATAAAATAAGGGAGGAGATCTTTCCTCCTGTGCTCTGTGCTAGGACATGGTGTTCTTAGAAATCGAAACCACTTCCCACCTGGGATTGCTGAAGAAGCAGGAGCTGGTTAAGCAAAAGTCGTTGAAGTCACCAGTGACAAGTTAAGCAGAAGAAAAGACTTTGAAGGGCTCTTGTTTTAAATAAGGAACACCCTTGTTCCAAGTAGCCTTGACACCTAAGATCAAGAGCAAGAGTAGAAGAGATGTCACTCCAATTTAAGAAAGAAATATTCTCAGAGATAAGAGGGGGAGACAAGCTCAGCAATGGGAATGTGGCAGCCACTGGAGGAAGGCACCTGCCCTGGTCAGGGATGCTGCAGAGAGGCAGGGAGGCTAAAAGGCCTTCAGGGCAATCTCCACCTGGATGCCACAGCCCAGGATGTCTTCATCCATATCCACTTTGAAGGAAGGAAGTTTTCCTCTCTCTCTGAGGCCACCTATATTAGGGACCCCCAAATTAAGGGATCAAATACTGAGTGACAAGAAGGGAAAGCCCTAAGATGAACTGGGATACACTGCTCACCTTAAAAGTCACATACGTAAGTATTAGAGTAGGGTCCCCTTCCTGGAAAAAAGTGCCTAGTTTCATAATTCACCCACTTATTTCTAAAATCTTTTCTGGGTGAACCCAGATACCCCAACTTCTGACCTTAGCCCCATGGTGTTTGAAGCCAACATACAGGGCAACCCTATGACAGACCGTGGGCTTGGAGGACAATGAGGGAACCAAATCCTTCATTAGTTCTCACTGAGCCTACCAAAAGGTGTGAGGCCCAGACAAAAACCTCACAGGTGATAATAGCAGTTTAATTTTTGAAGCTCTGGGGACATCATCTGGTCACTTCTGACAGTCAGTGTTTACTCCATTCATGCCTACTCTGGCCCTGGTGATGTATTAGACACTTCATAACCAATGAATCCTCCACCAGCCCTGCAGAATGACACCATCTCTGTTTTTGTTAAGGAAAATAAAGCTCAGAGAGGTTAAATGACTTGATCCTAGTTACCCAACCATTAGGGAGGAAGAGCTTGAATTGGAATCTACATCTGATGTAGTCCATGGATACTAAGAGAAACTCCAATTATACCTTGAAAAATCTGCTAATGAAAAATGGTTTGAAGATAAAAGATTTCATCAGAATATTTGTAAAATAAACATCCACAAACTGATCAAAATAAGACTATGGACACATCGTTTCAGTAGATCAGAGATTACGTTAGGTCTTCCTCAAATACTTGGAAAAATATCTCTATACTGTCTCCTAGTTCAATATGAAAAAGGAATCCAACAAAATTTAAACTGAGTTATCTCCAAGATTAGCATAGCTTAACTTTATATTCTATTTCAATCTTTTTTTTGGGGGGGGGGGGGGGGGGGCAGGGATTGAATCCAGGGGCACTTGACCACTGTGCCACATCCCCAGCCCTATTTTTTTGTATTTTATTTAGAGACAGAGTCTCACTGAGATGCTCAGCTCCTTGCTTTTGCTGAGAGGCTGGCTTTCAACTCCTGATCCTCCTGCCTCAGCCTCCCAAGCTGTTGAGATTACAGGCATGCACTACCGCACCTGGCTCTACTTCAATCTTAAAACATACCAACATTAAAGACAATGGAGTGTCAGACCTGCAAAGGACCTTCAAGGTCATCAGGTCCAGTGACAATGACAATGTATTTGTGTCACAGGCCCCTATAGGATTCAGATGAAAGACACAGACCCCTCAACACTCTGCAAATACTACATTTACATGACATCTTGTCCCCACCCTTGGGGTCCTCAAATTAAGGACTCCTGATCCTTTCTGTAGTTGGGGGGACTGAGGCTCTGATAAGTAAAATGACTTGCCCAAGATAACAGAACCCCTTTAAATCAGAACCAGGACTTGAACCTGGCCTCCCAGTCCCCCAGTGTCCGTGCTTTATGTTCTGTCTCATTACCCATTCCAAAACAGTATGAAAAATTTCCTGTTTTAAACATAGCACATTTCTTCCTAAAATACCATTTCCTTCCTTATGTTTTAAATTAGTCTTTAAATTCCATTGTACTTCTGTCCTAGGGATGACAGAATGGGGTCACCGGGGCTGTGTTTCCCCAGCACTCATGAACAAGCAGGCTTTTGCTACTAGGCAGGTCCTACATAAAGACTTTACTACAAAAATTAACCGTGTCTACGAAATTAACCTCATCTAAGAATGTGATCGAAGTAAGAACCCCGATATTCAGGCTTATGTTTGGCTGGGGTTGGGGGGAGGTGAGAGCCAGAGAAAGGAAAAAGAAAGAGCACGAGGCTGCACATCATCCCAATGGGTAGGGAGAAAGGTCCTTGTTAAAAGTTCTTGTTTATTTTTGCCGGTCCTTCCTCATTGTCTAGAAGCACACAATAGAAGAAGAGGTTGCAGGCTGCAAATGAGCTTTATCATAACAGCAGGAAGGAGGAAAAGAAGAAAGTTATTGGCAATGCAGACCCAGACCCGAGACATGTTCAGGGCTGACACAGGGTCTTGTTCAGTGCTGCTACAGAGGACAGGCACCCACACCATCCCTGACCCTCTACTTACTGTCGTCTTCACTCAGGTCCCTGTCCATGGTCTAGACCTCCAGTCAAGACAGTGTCTGCGTTCCTGAAGGCCAGCTGCAGGAATCTAAGGGGCCACCCTTGGGCCCCTCCCAGAACGTCAGGCCCATTGTTACCTGATTTGCATACAACAGAGGCAAAGCCACCGTGTCCATCAGAGAGGCTGCCTGGCACCCACTCCACAGGTGCTTGGGGTTCCTCCCCACAAGAGCCTCTGGCTTGCCGCTTGCTTTTGGATGCTTCTAGAGTTCCCTGGGCCATTGCTGCAGTTCTGTGTGAGGCACACTCAGATTCTGCTCATTTTTCTGATCTGGGATTCAAAGCCTTGACTACCTGCTTCTCAAGTTGACCACCAAGCACACTGTACATCTGGGGGAGGCAGGTTTCCAAGTATGGGCAGGGCCATATAGAAAAATTTAATAGCCACAGGCAGATCCCCTGCCCAAGGGGGTAAGAACATTTGGGAACCCAGACTGAGGTCTTGGGCACCAACCTCTTTTCTCATTAGAGGCTGGGGTTATGAAGTGAGGCTCCAAAACCACATAGCACATCATAACAAGAGCTGGCTGCCAACCCAGGATGCACGATCCACCATCGTATCTGTGGGTTACTACTGGCTCCATACCCACCTGGGCCCTAGGAAAAATCTGTGGGTTGCAGAGGGGCAGAGTGGCTGGGGTTGGAACCCAGGACCTCATGCACGCCAAGAGACACTGAGCTACAGCCCCAAGCCCCATATGCAAAGTTTTAAAGGTCTTTTCCTAAACCTTTTGCATTAGGGGAGAAATTCCTTCAACTGCAACCCTTGGAAGATCATCACTCTCCTCCAGATGAGTCTAAACAGACTCTCCAACCCAGATGTGCTACTGGAGATGTACCATGATGCTCCTTAAGGAAAACTGGGGTCACATAGGGAAGACTTTTTATTGCTGCTTCTATCTCTTCACTAGTTATTGGCCTGTTTATGTTTTCTATGTCTTCTTGATTAAATTTTGGCAGTTTGTAGGAGTCTAGAAATGTATCCATTTCTTCTAGGTTTTCCAATCTATTAGTGTATGCGTTTTCAACATAATCCATAAAGATCTGCTAGATTTCTGTGATGTCAGTGGTGATTCTTCCTTTTTAAATCTCTCATTTTATTAATTTGGATGTTCTTTTTCTTTTGGCTAGTTTGACTAAGGGCTTATCAATATTGTTTATCATCTCAAAGAAACAACTCTTTGATCCTTTGTATTGTTTTTTTAAAAAATTCTGTTTCATTGATTTCAGTTCCAAGCTTCATTACTTCCTTCCTTCTACTGGTTTTAAAATTGGTTTGTTCTTCTTTTTCAAGGGTCTTGAAATGCATGATTGGGTTGTTTATTTGGGAATCTTTCTGATTTTATTACGTAGGTACTCATAGCTATAAACTTTCTTCTTAGAACTACCTTCATGGTGACTCAGAGGTTCTGGTGTGTTGTATCACTATTCTCATTTGAATATAAGAATTTTTCAATTTCTCCTTTGATTTCTTCTATCACCCACTGACCATTCAAAAGAGTATTTTGTAATCTCCATTGCAAAATACTTTATATGTCCTTATAAAGTTTTTATGTCTTTATATGTCCTTATAAAGTTTCTACAGAGTTTTGTTCTGTTGATTTCTAATTGCATTATGATCTAATAAGATGCAAGGAATTATATCAATTTTTTTGTATTTGCTAAGAGTTGCTTTGTGGCCTAAAATATTATCTATTTTGGAGAAGGTTCCATGAGCTGCAAAAAAGAAAAGTGTATTCAGCTGTTATTGGATGAAACAGATGTCTGCTAGGTCCATTTGATTCGTAATATTTTTCAGGTCTGAACAGTATTTACCAAGTTTTTGACTGGGTGACCTATTCAATGGTGAGAGAGGTATGTCAAAATCACCCAGTATTATTGTACTGGGGTCTCTTTGATGCTTCAATTTGAGTGGTCCCTTCTTTTTTGTTTTTTGTTTTTGTTTTTTTTTTTGGTACCAGGGATTGAACTCAGGGGTACTCGACCACTGAGCACATCCCCAGTACTATTTTGTATTTTATTTAGAGACAGGGTCTCACTGAGTTGCTTAAGGCCTCCCTAAGTTTCTGAGGCTGGCTTTGAACTTGCAATCCTCCTGCCTCAGCCTCCCAAGCTGCTGGTATTATAGGCATAAGCCACCACACCCAGCTGAGTGGTGACACTTTTGTATAATTAATTGCACCCACCTTGTCATATCTTCTTGTTGTATTGTTTCCTTTACCAGTATGAAGTAGCCTTGTCTTTTCTGATCAATTTTAGTTTGAAGTCTGCTTTGTCAGATATGAGAATAGCTACTTCTAGTTCTTTGGGGTCTCCATTCACATAGTATATCAATTTCTATCTTTTCACTTTCAGCCTATGGCCATCTTTGCCTATAAAGTGCATCTCTTACAAACAACATTTAGTTGTGTCTTGTTTTTTAATCCATTCTGCCAGTCTATTTCTTTTCATTAGAGAGTTGAGACCCTTTAGATCTAATGTTATATAGAGAGATGTGATTAATTCCATTTTGATTTATTTATTATATTTCATTTGGTCCTTTTTATAATTTATTTAATTACTCTTCAAATGAGATTTTGTTCATTTGTGAGCTCTGGGGTTTGCTTTTTATTTTTACTGTGTGGAAGAGCATTTATTTAAGTAAGTTCCGTAGTGACAATTTAGTAGTCATGAATTCTTTTAGTTTCTACATATCATGGAAGGTTTTTATTTTTCCTTCAATTTTTAATGATAGATATGGCAATCTAGGTTGACAGTTATTTTCTTTCAGGACTTGGAACACATCATTCCAAGCCCTCCTAGCTTTTAGAGTTTATGCCAAAAAATCAGAAGTGATTCTGATGGGCTTGCTTCTAAATGTGACCTGACATTTTCTCTTGAGGATATTAAAATTCTATCCTTGTTCTCTATCTTAGGCACTTTAATTAAAATGTGTCATGAAGAGGATCTTTTTAATTTTATCTCTTTGGGATTCTGAATGCATCCTGTATCTAGATGTCCATCTCATGCTGAAGGTTTAGAAAATTTTCTGCTTTTATTTCCCAGAAAAGGTTATCCATTCCATTAACCTGCATCTTACACCCTTCCTCAATTATATTATTAAATTTTGTTGTCCCAGAATTATTGTATATTCTGATCATGGCTACTTATTTTCTCTTGTTTAATGTTGTTTGACTGTTCAAGGTTGACGACTTTGCCTTTCAGCTCTGAGATTATGTCTTCAGCACAGTTTACTCTATTAGAGAGATTTTCAACTGAACAGAATTAACACAAAGACTGCGGATAAATAAATTTTAACTTATTTATCTTTTATTTCCAAGATTTTCTGTTTGGTTCTTTTTCAATATCTCTACCTCCTCACTGAATTTCTGATTCATATTGTATACTGACTTCCTTAATCCTTTCATTGTTTTTCTGTGCTCTTTTGGAATTCATTGATTATTTTGTGGGCAATTCTTTTGAATTATTTGTTTGATATTTCATCCACTTCAATATCTTGGAGTCAGGTGCCAATAAATCACGAACTTTAGGAAGTGTCATGTCATCTTGTTTTTTTCATATTTCTTTGTTGGTTTGTATGCATCTGTTGGGGAGGATTTCTCTTCCACTCTTATGTGTGGGCCTTATTAGGGCACAGTGTTCACTTGTCAAAGTGTCCTAGAATGATCCAGATTGAGACCCCTCCTTTGTAGGTATGGTATCCACAGTCTTTGTGTTAATTCTGTTTTTTGCTGTAGTCATGGATGTCTCCATCCATAGGTGGAACCTGGGGGCCCACCCTCTAGCTGTTTCTACTTGGGTACTGTGGGGTTTTGTCTTTTCTATTCTTTGTATTGAAGTATAGCTAAAGATGTCATTAATTTGTTTGTGGGGCAAGGTGCACTGACTTCCGATTGACTTTAGTTCAGCAGTGGTGTCCCTAACCTGTGAATTTGTAGTGTCCCTGTAGGTTTCCAGAATCTCACAGAATAAGAAGAAACAAGCAATAGTAACAACCAATGCAAACAACATATAACATTCAGCTAAATGCCTGGTTCCTACAATGACATCTTCCACAAAAAACAAACATGGTGGGGTCAGCAATTGCCAATGGTAAAAACATAAGTAACCATAAATTAGATCTGGCATTAAAGCAAATAACAGTTGACAACTATGTCATCCGCAGCAGTAATGATTTCAACAGCATGAATGGTGGGGGCATGAAATATATAAACCAATTAGTTTGCTAAGTTTCTAAGGCTGAACTTGAACATGTGGTCCTTCTGCCTCAGCCTCCTGAGTTGCTGAGATTACAGGTGTGTGCCACCATGCCAAGCCCCTAAACCAATTAGTTCTAAAAGATGGTAAAAATAGCTGGGCTCAGTGGTGCTGGCCTATAATCCCAGTGGCTCAGGAGGCCGAGGCAGGAGGATACCAGTTCAAAGCCAGCCTCAGCAACTTAGGGAGGTACTAAGCAACTTAGGGAGACCCTGCTTCAAAATAAAAAGTAATAGGGCTGGATTGTGCCTCAGTGGTGAAGCACCCCTGGGTTCAACCCCATCCACCAAAAAAAAAAAAAAAAAAAAGATGGTAAAAATATAGTTACTTAAGAAAAACATGTGATAGTGAAAGAATTTACAATTTCAAAAAGTGAGCAGAGAGAGCACAGAAGAGATGTAGGATATGATTGATGGTTATAAAGAAGGAAGCAAAAATAGGAGAAACAAAGCAAAGGGAGGGAGAAAGAGAGAACAACAGAATTTGGCTATCAGCAGAAGAAAAGGGGAAAAGATAAATGAGAAACAATCAAATGAAAACAAAACAAAATCAAAATGTACAAACGAAAAACTCAAAGCTTCAAAAGACAAGGTAAGAAGAAATAACTACATTTCTAGAAAATGCTAAAAGTAATAAAAAACAAACAAATATATGTACGTGTGTGTATTTATGTGTCCATTAACCAATCAGACAGCAGGAACACACATATATACAC